GAACGAGGCGAAAGGGATCGGTGGGACCGTTATCGGGGTCCCTCTGGGTGTTTCTCAAAGTAAATGTGACTTGTTTGAGGGTACGCTTTTGGGTTTCGAAAGCAAAACAAAAGCGAAGCCACTCAGCTTTCGCTGTTTCAAGTCACGCCCAAATAGGAATCGGTGGTCTTGGATTTTAAGGAAAGGGACGCCACCCGCCTGAAAGGTCCCTAATGTTGAGAAACACCCCTACATATCCCCTGCTTTGTTGCCACATTATGCATACCTTGTCAGGTTACCCCCAGTTGGTGGTTTAGATTGGTGTTTTTGGGATTTGAACCCCTGGTTTTGTAGCGGGTAGATGGGAAACCGTTTCCTTGTGGGGAGCCCTGGATCGGGGTGTCAAAATTTTGGCGGTGAACAGGGAAACCAAGCTGAACCATCCAACTGATGGTTTTCGTTCAGGTTGTTTTAGGCATCCCAAAGGGTTCGTTGCCAACTTCCTTTCCTTCCTGGCCAGCAAAGTTAGATGGTTCCTCAGTGCCACCGTCAAGCCATCTCCAGATGCCTTCAAGAGGCGGCTTGTAGGTTGGCAACTGCCCAACAGAGCCTTGACCATCCGCGGCTTTTCCACGTGACTGGACTTGAGTCCAGGGCTCTCGTGCTCTCCTTCCAAGCCAGTGCCTGGGTCAGCCCGTAGCTTCATGACAGCAAGTGCCAGCATGGTGGCACCACAGGGTTACGGCCATTTTCTGGTCGAGGCTGCGTTTTGCCAGATGCAGATGGAGCCTTTCGCGCATCTCAGGAATTCCGCCGAGCGCTGCCCAGTTACTCCAATCTCTCTCAGGGGGAGGGTGGATTTGCCTCCCCGTCCTCGTCCTCCTGGTGAAATGCCCGCCCGCTTGCGACGTCCCTTCGGGCGTTCGCCTCGGAATTTCCCGCGTGCGTTCAGACTCCCCGGGCCGCCTGACACAGCCAGGTTTTTCGAGTGTTACTCTGGGCACCTGGAGGGCTTGGAGGGTTGTCCTCCGGCTTCGGCAGATGTGCAAGGAGCAGAATGGATTCAGGCTCCTCGGTCTTGCTCTGGGTCAAGATGGTGAGTCGACGTCTCCGCTTTCTGGAAGCTACCCAACTCGGCGGCTCTCATTAAGCCCAGGGACACCCGGATGCGGCCACAGGCGGGTGCGGCCACAGGCGCCCAAGTGATCCGAGATCCGCGCCCGCCCGCGCCCTCCTCCCGACAGCGACAAGTGTCGCTTCAAGTGAGTGCGTGCGACCAAGCGGTTTGTCACCCCTTTTTCCCCGGGTGATGTGTTCGACCAGTTTTATGCGTTCGTAGTGTTACTGTTTACTGTTTGTTCGAGGTGTAGCCTTCGACACGCTTCGCGCTGGCCCGTCTCGGCCAGTGTTTTTTTTCTTTTTTGTCTGGCTTTGAGGTGCTGTGTTTTGGTTTGCCTTGAAGTACTGTGTGTGTTTTTTGAGTGAGTGAGTCGGCGCCGAAATGCGTGAGCTGGTTTCCAAACCATATGGTGGGTGCAAGTTCGCGTTTCCACATGGCTTCGCTGGCTAGACCGACTATACCAGAAAGGGCGTGCTTGTTTTTGCCATGCCCACCGGGTCTGGGCGTTGGTGGGGTGACGCCCCAAGGGGATTCTTTTCCTTGGCAACCGCATTCACGACCCTGCTGCGGGATTTGATAGGTTTCCTTTATCGCGGCTCCTTTGTTAGGGATCCGCTTCTTATTTGAAGATTGGTTTTGAATGATTCACTCACCATGTTTGGTGATTTCGTTGGTGGTTTGTCTTCATCCACCCGTCGTGGTGACAGGAGCCAACATGAGTTCCTGTAAAACATCTGAGGCCGGCGGTTTTACAACAGGTTGACTACCTCCGGCATGTTCAGCCCAAGCCTTTCTGATTACTTGGGCCACAGCCATTCAAGTATAGTTGGGTACCTACATGCCCCCCTGCGAGCAAATCAAAGGCAAGCCGCGGGAAATCGCGGAAGGGGTTCAGCTCGTTTCCTTGTTCGGGGAACATGCGTGGCCTGCACACCCAGTGGTCCCCGGACCATGTAGCTAACCCCTTCCCCACTTTCCTGTCATTGAAGGATAGGAAACCCCTTGGTTGCCTAGAGAAGCGGATCTGGGTGGTGGTAAACATCGCCGGTTTTGGGAGGTAGCCAAGGCCAATGGATCTCCCAACATCGTACCGGTGAGGTGAAGGACGCGGAGAAGACTTCCTTCGGGAGGATAGAGAAGCTGACGGCGAAGGGTGAGCCGACCCCGCTCAAGTCAGAGAAGCCGAAGAAGTCGCAGTCGTCATCCAAAGAACCGACGCATGGCGCCAGTTCGGGCAAGTTTGACGTTTTACTTTCCTGACTTGGTTGGAACATGGCAGTGTTGCTTTTACAAAACCCAAGAAGTTCGAGCGTGTGTTGGGATGTGTTGGGATCAAAAACCAAATTCAGGATGGAGGAAACCGATCGACATGTGAGCATTGCAAAAACTGACAAGTCGGACCAGGAGGGATTGTCTCCCTCACGCGCCAAGACTGACAGATCCGACCATGCAGTATCGCCTGTGAGCCGAGCAAGAACTGACAAGTCTGAGTACGATTTCGAGGAGTACTCGCCCACAAACGCCAACACAGAGCACTCTGATGTTGGCAAGTCTCCGGTGAGCCGGGCAAGAACTGACAAGTCGGACCAGGAAGCATTTTCTCCCTCACGCGCCAAGACTGACAGATCCGCAGTATCACCAGTGAGCAGGGCGCGAACTGACAAGTCGGAGTACGATTTCGAGGAGTACTCGCCCACAAACGCCAACACAGAGCACTCTGATGCTGGCAAGTCTCCGGTGAGCCTGGCAAGAACTGACAAGTCGCACCAGGAAGGACTTTCTCCCTCACGCGCCAAGACTGACAGATCCGCAGTATCACCAGTGAGCAGGGCGCGAACTGACAAGTCGGAGTACGATTTCGAGGAGTACTCGCCCACAAACGCCAACACAGAGCACTCTGATGTTGGCAAGTCTCCGGTGAGCCGGGCAAGAACCGACAAGTCAGATCAGGAAGGGTTTTCTCCCTCGCGCGCCAAGACTGACAGATCCGCAGTATCACCAGTGAGCAGGGCGAGAACTGACAAGTCGGAGTACGATTTCGAGGAGTACTCGCCCACAAATGCCAACACAGAGCACTCTGATGTTGGCAAGTCTCCGGTGAGCCGGGCAAGAACTGACAAGTCGGACTACGAGTTCGAGGAGTCTCCTACACATCACAAAGCCGGAATACCTGACCCTGCATCTCCTGTGAGCCCTGCCAAAACCGACAAGTCAGAATATGAGTTTGAGGATATGTCCCCCACAAATTCGACCTTGGGGAGTTGATCAACCCGGCAAGGATTTATTGCCGGCTGCATGCAAGCTTTTCTTTGGCGTCAGCCCAGTTTCCGGGCTGATGTGGTAGCTTTCTAATCCTGCGGATGTTTTTTGCACCCCAGAGGGCCTGCAGCACATACTTGCAGATTTGGTAGATCTGGTTGGCACATCTCCGCAACCCAAAACCGAAGATCTGGAGTTTGCTACCCCCTGGGTTGCCTGGGTTAGCGGGGTCTTGAGACAACACCCGGTCACCCGCCTTTCGGTTGACCTCCAACGGCTTAGCAGAACCGGGCCGTCGGGAAGGTCTCCCTTTGGAAACCCAGGCGACGAAGTGGACAGTTTTTGAAGAAGCAGGGGCTGGTCGGAAGCCGCCGCGAATCCGCCCCGAAGCACTGGAAAGGAGGGTACACATATGAGCGGCAGCCCCTTAGGTTTGCCCGAGGGAAAAAGCAGAAAGTGTCTGACCGGAATCTGCCTCATATCTTGGACAAAGAAAAGCGGGCTCGGCAAGGGATTGGTTTAGAACCGATTTCAGCTACGAAGACTCCTTTCATTGCCATCCCCTCGGTTTGGTTGGCGAATAAATGTAACAGGATTCCAGGATAGCTTGGCAGACAGAACGGGAATGTGACATCAAAACACGGAACTTGGCAATCAATTCCAAACACGAACATCTAAAAATCCAGTTCCAAAATGCCAAATTAAACCATTCCGTAGTCGTCATACACAAGAACTCGCGATATTCGCAACTTGCGCATCTTGGCTCCTGGTTGAGTTTGAGCCTGTTCCGGCTCTCTCAAAATGGGATCTGGAATCCCCGGTGGCTTCCTTTGGTTTTCCTTTGAACCGCCGTCCAAACATGCCACCAACTCGAAGAGAGACCCACAGATTTGTTTGGCTCGGGCTATCCAATCCCCGCTTCTTTGCCCCAAATACAGCTCGACTTTGCATGCGACGCCGACGCTGGCCCCAAATCCACTCCAAGAGGGATGCAAAGAGACGGGCGAGAATGAGCCAAATGGCTTGGAGAGAAAGAGCTTGCCGGATGTGAGCTGCGCCGAAGGTAGCTTTGGAGGTTTTGTGAGCAAGGTATACCTTGCTCAGGCCCTTAGTTGGTTTGGATTGGCGGTTTGGGATATTCGCCTCTGGCTTTTGTATAGGGTAAATGGGAAACCACCAAGAGAAACCAATCCAAACCACCGATTCGGCTCCAAACCTCCAACTAAGGGTGATCCTCCTTGATTCTAGCATAGTAACAAGAAGGTGAGCTTCCTTCCTTCTGGTTACCCATTAAAATAGAAAGCAGCAGGCAAGCCATGGGTTCACCATTTTATACACACCCATGTTGTTGAGAAGCTCACGCCTCGCCCGCGCTCGCTCCGCAAGTTGCCGGCAGATTTTGGCACAGACAGGGCGCAAGGGCTTGGGACCTGTGGGGCAATTTGCGAGGCACAGAGAGAACCGGTTGGGGCAGTAATCCATAGGAGGTTTCAATTGGACACCCAAAAGCCCGGAAATCTGGATGAACCACTGGTCTTGCCTTTCCGAAGGAAGGGGACGCCTTTTCAAGAAAGAGGGAGCCCTAAGTTAAGAATACCGGCAGCTGCTCAAGATGCCTTTGCAAATGGCAGAATGGCGAGGCAGGCTTCTCAGAGTGAGCAAGAGATATGGCTTGAGATCGGGAGAGATCGCGTGTGAGATCTTCTGCTTGTTTTTGGCCGCGGTCCTTGGCTGTCGTACAAGACATATCCCCACCGCCTCAGAAGTCGACTTGGGGCAGCGGGGTGTTAGAAGCAGGGCGCCATTTGTAGTTCCATTTTTCAGTCGTGGAAGGATAGAAACATGGAATTGGTGGACCCACCAGCCCCCCTCGCTCTCAAGGCATGGGGACTTAAGGTACCGGATATCCAGGGGTCGCGAGTCAAAGGGGTTCTTCAGATGCTCGGCACTGTCAGTTCGGCTCATGGAGTTGTGACCGCATTTTTGGCAGGACACCAAGACAGCCGCGCAGCTGGCTGTTTGACTGTCTGTTTCAATAGAAGCGTGGTTCCTCTCGAAACCTTCCCAAAAACGAGACTCAGCCGCTTTTCAGGCAACACCCACATCACATGGACACGAGGCAGGCGGAAAGTTTCCAGCTAGCTTCGCCATGAGCAGCTCACCTGAATCGGCCTTTTGGCCGCCATTGACTCCACTGACCCCACGCGCCGGGTATATCCCGGCGCCCACTCGCGGCCGCAGCCCCTCCCGGGACGCCACGCACGCGGCCCCTGCGCCGCCGCTTCTGCCCTCGCGGCGCATCGCTCGCTGCGCCTCGGAGCCGACGCCAAAGCACTGCGACGACTCGGCCGTCACCCCGCGCCGCGACCGCGCGGCGCCGGCGCTGCCAGCGCCGCTGCCGGTGCCGCTGCCAGTGCCCAGGCGGCCGAAGGCGACGGCGCCCGGGCTTGCTGGCGCGGGCCCCGCCAGCCCCGTGCACGCAGGGTACGCAGGGTACGCAGGGTACGCGCGCGTGCCGCGCTCGCCCTTCAAGGCCGAGCCGGAGAAGCGCGAGAAGCCGAAGCCGAAGCCTTCGAAAGCTTCGGAGAAGCAGAAGGAGCTGTGGCCATCCCCGGCCAAGGCAAAGGCTGCCCTCGCCAAGACCAAACCAGCACCCAGGGGGAAGTTTGTCCAGCTACAACGCAGCAGCTCCACTCCGCAGTTGGCCACTGGGACAGCTGAGAAGGCTGTGGGTTAAAACCAATGGTACTATTTTGGGGTAGGTGCACCTCCATTTTAGGCTATTTCAGTGAAATTGGGATGTTCACTGGGGGTACGGGGTTTTGACCCATGGCCATACCATTTTTGCGTTTTTGTCCGCCAAAGTTCTGATTTGTCTCGCCTTTGTGTTTGGCCCTTGACTGAACTGATGGCAGAATCATTGCCAGACCAAAGGCTGACCTGTTCATAACTTTTTGTTGTTTAAGAAAGTTTCCCTGGCTTTTCTTTTCAACCAGCAAACAGTTCAACTTTTGGCAGGGGGTCTAAGTCTTGTCAATTGACTTAGAAACTCCCCGGAGTCTCCGCGGCCCTTCAGAAATGCCGTCACGTACCTCAAATTCAGGGGCTCAGAGGCTTCGCCATGAGGATCTCGGAGACTCCAGGTAGCCCAGAGAATCCATTTCATGATGACCCTTGACCGGATCAGCTCGAAATGACCTCCAATTCACACAGGACGCCCTCTTAGAGCGGAGTTTGCCTCAGCCCCTAGGTCTGTCAGTAGTGCCCTTTTACCCCTTTTTTGTGGGAGGGTTCCCCTACTAAAATAGACAAAGAAGAAAGTTGGTACAACGTATTCTAAGCTCTCAAATCTGGAGGACCTAGCCGACCTAGCCCGGAATTTGTGGTTTGGATTGGTTTGGATTCGGATTTGATGGGTAAGGGAAACCGCTTCCCAAACCTAACCACCAAGCAAAACCATCAGCCCCGCCCCAGACCAGCTTTAACCAACCAAGGTAGCAGTAGCCCTCGAGGAATTTCAAGGCATTGTTATTGAGTCAACGGGCCTCCAAGGTCTGCGCGGAAGCTTGGAACCCAACTTGACCCAGGTCGAATTGGGATGTAAACTGTCTTTTAGCAAACTACCGCAGCAGTTCGATGCCCCCCAGCCGGTACCGCCTGAGCTTTGCCCCAAGGCCAGCTCGCGCAACGCGGCGCCCCGCCCAAGCCGCAGCCTTCGGGCGCTGCAGGATGAGAACGCGCAGCTGCGGGCGGAGCTGGCGCGGGCCACCGAGGCCGAGGGGGGGTTGAGGGTCTGTGAAGAGAGATTTTCCCCGGGACAATTTTGGCGCGGAAAAAAAAATCGCCCGTGGTATGGTCCTGGCCATCCGGGTACAGGTGTTTTTTAGTAGTTTTTTATTTGGTGAAAGGTGGTTGAGTAGTTTTTAGTGGTGTTTGGTGGTTTTTGAGCGGTTTGAGTGGTTTTTATTTGGTGAAAGGTGGTTTTTGAGTGGTTTGAGTGGTTTTTATTTGGGGAAAGGTGTGTTTTTAGCGGTTTCGCGCGGTTTTTAGTTGGCGACAGGTGGTCGGGTTTCCATTTGACCCGCAAGGTAAAAGCTTTGAGCAGGGGATCTCCTCAAACGGACCGAGCGTCTATGCCCAGGTTGGAAGGACAGGCCTCTTGAAAAGGTCCGGTGCTGGAAATATGGTACACACGTTTCCATAGAACTAGCCAGGCTACAACTTGGGACTCTGGGTTCTTTTTCCCGTCTGAAAAGTGGGCTTCCCTTTATTTCGAAAAGGGTCAACCAGCACCACGAAGAGGCAGGGTTCCACTTTTGGAGAACCCCAAGGCAGACTTGACCCCATTCATTTCTCCCAGAAGAAAAACGCCTTCTGGGCTCAAGTCTTGGCAACCAAGTGGACCCCTGAGAGGCCTCGGAGGTTTGGGGCTCAGGTCTTGCGGGAGTTGGACCAATGTGCGGCGGATGAGCTTGGAGAAGTGCAAGCGCGCCAGGAGGCCAGATGGAGCCCTTCGGTCCATTCCTGTGGCTCGTCCTTTTTTTTGTCTCCCCCAAACAAAAAACACTAAACATCAGGGTTTTCCTCTGGTTCCCCTTGAAAACTGCCAAAATATGGGTGCCCTCAAAAAAAGACACCCCCGTTTACCTGCAAGTGGGGAACCAAGCGAAGCAATTCAGTTCCGCAGTGACCAACGGGATGTCGAGAGACTCTCATGCACCTGCCAAGTGCGAAGCTTTCTTGAAACGTCATTAAGGTTCCCCGCTTGACTACTACTTGAAGGGGGCGGTTGGGTACATGAGGCAAGCCATTAATAACCATGGTGACAATCCACTGACATGGTCGCAAGTCCACGTTCAGTGTTTAGAACCCTGGTTACTAACCACTCGCCTCATGTACCCAACCGCCCCCTTCAAGTTGGACCAATGGCTGGTCTTTGGCTCCTTACTCCTTTGGAACATTACTTCTCCGCTGAACCTAGGGCTTGGAGCCACCCAGCCATGTGACCGCATTGAACTCTTCGCTCCCCGCGATCGGGCGTCACATCGGGAGCTTCCGCTTGGCCGCCTGGGCTTCGAACACAAGCCTCCGGTACTGCCCCCTGGGGATGAAGCAAAAAGACAGGCCGTTCCCCAGCTCTGTTCACGTGTGACCGTGGATATCTTCGAGTTGATACCATTGGAAGGTCAAGCTGTTTGCAGAAAAACCACCCGGAAAACAGAGACAGTTGCAAAACAAGCATTTTAACAGATTAGTCTTGGGCAACGACTCTGCCATCAGTTTAGTGGGCAAAAGCACGCACAAACAAAGGCGCAACACATCCGAAGTTTGGAGGGGAGTTGGCCAGGAGCTGCGGCGTTTGGCGCTCCTGGCACAAGGCGCCTTGGAGGCGCCGGGTCTCGAGCCTTCAGCGACTGAGCCAGAGGACCGCGATGGGCGCGGGGTTAGGAGAGCCAAGTGGGGAGTGGGGGTCTTAAGGTAGGGGAAACTTCAAAATGGGGTGTTTTTTTTTGGTTTCCTTTTGAACGCCAACAGGGCGTTGTATGAAAAGACACATCCAGATGGGAGATCACTCGTGATTTTGGCCGGATTTAGTCTACCTTTCCATGTAGTCCAGGGCAACCCATTTTGGACCCCCAGTTTGGACCTTGGGCCAGGACGGCCTCACCTTGCAGCTGCGGGGTATGGCGGCGGAGGCTGCCGCCGTGCGGCGAGCGCTGGACGGAGCGCAGGATCTGTGGCGCCGGGGCTTCAGGCGAAATGTGGCACGACTTCTGGGGAATTGGTGTGGTTGGGTGGGTGGTTGGTTTGGCTTGGTGGTTTGTGGGTGGTTTGTGGGTGGTTTGTGGGTGGTTTGGTGGGTGGTTTGGTGGGTGGTTTGGTGGGTACTTGGGTGGGTGGTTGGGTGGGTGATACGAAATGTTGCGGAATGGCGGCATTTGGAGGCGTGGGGTGGTTGGGGCGGGTGGGCCGGTGGTTGGGGTGCAAACAAAATCATTTGGGTTTGCTTTTTTGAGGGTAGCCCATGGTTTTAAAAAGACGCCCAACGGAAAACCAGCCATTTTTGGGATCCCCTAACAAAAGACACTCATGTGGACAGCAACTCTTTTGGAGGTGGTGTTGGGTTTGGGGTATTTCCACACAGATGGCGCTTGTTGTGCGCCTTCAAGGGGGTGGACGCTTGGGTGGCTGCGTGTTTGATGTGGGTGGGTTGTGGTTGCACCGTTCCTTCGGGTTGCTCACAGATTTCGGGGCGCTGATTGGGTGGGCCGGGGGGGGGGGGTTGTCACCTTTGTCAAAACAATACTCAGTACTCCCCAAAAACAACTTTTGGGGAAACAATAACAACATGACAATTTTGACAAACCCAGACATAAGGGCCCCCAGAACCACTTCAGGTTTGGTCAACATTTCATGTTTAGTGGCTGCCAAGATCACACATGTCGTTCAACACATCGCTAGGGCTTAGAAAGTAAACCGAGTTGATTCGAAGCATATGACCATCTTGTTTCCAGAGCAAAGTCTGGGCTCTCCTTTGAATTGTTTTAGTATGTTATTTCTACCATCTACCGTCCCCTAGTTTAGGGCACCTCCGGACACTGCGGTCTTCTTCTAGACCTTTTTCCTTGCAGTGCTTCATTTTGTTCGACCCTTGACTTTAACCCTGCAGCGCATTTCTACCATACTTACCTATTTTTGAGATACCTGGAGGTTCACCAAATATGACCAGCATCAAAGGCAACAGCTGAAGGGCGAGCCTGGTTTGCAGGTGATGCCAAGGAGAAGATGCCCCGGGCTGCTGCGAACCCACCGAATCGACGCCTGGAACCTGAACGCTCTTCTGGACAACGTGTAACACATCCTAATATAGGAATGACCAACAGGGAAAGCCACCAAAACACGTGACATCCCCACCAAATAGGAACGTTTCGCAGGGAAATTGATGACTCCCCCATGTTTAGAACTCGCTTTGGACCCACTGTTTTGTGGTCTACTTCTGATTTTGCGTCACTTGCAGGCGTTAATCCGCAAACACTGCATTCATCAAGTTCTGAACATGTATGTACTGGGGTTATTCCGAAATTCCCCACTGAGAACAAGCCATTCTTTTCGGGGGGGCTAGGAAATCACAGGATAAACAAATTGCAACAATCAGGGGCGGCATTCGGGCCCTGCACAACCCTTGAAAAGGGACGTTTTAAGAAGGTTTGCGGAGCTTTCCTGCGTGGGGGGGGTGTCTAGGTTGTTTCCTAAACACGCACACATACACACATGCATCGAGCAGGTTCCAGTGGACAGAGACCAGACTGGATGCATCAGATCGGATGCGAAAGTCACATGCATGGAATCCAACGCCACGTGTTGCTTCTTTTCACTGGCATGGGTCTGTCTCAAAATGGGAGCACCATCTTGGGATTGGTTTGAAGGGAGACGTTCAGCACGAATCCAGATTTTGCACACAAAAAGCAAGTTTTTTGGGATGGCTTCAAAGGGAAGACCCAAAGGAAACCACATTTCTTTGGGGCACCCCCTCGAATGCCAAACAGAGCCTCGGTGATCTGAGGGCAGTTAATTGCTGCGAGTTGATTCTTGCCAAAGGGAGTTCACTTCCTGATGATCTACGCCCAGACGATTCCATGGAAGCTCCCGAACGGACCCCCCTAAGACTTGGTTCCATTTACGGAGGCCTTGGAGCTTCCATGTTAGTCCGAGGGAGTGTAGCACAAGACTTCCACCATGTCAGAAGCCTCAGTGATTGCCACCAAAAGCCAGCATGCCAACCCTCAAGGGATGCCCCCTTTCCAACAATCACGGAAGTGGACAGAGCTTTTCAAGACGATGGACCTCGAAAACCCTCTTGTCCATGTCTATGAGTGGAAAGAGGTTCGTGGACGGCGTCTCACAGGACTCAGTCCCCAGTGTGCACATGGTGTCAGCTGTCAGATGACAAGATTTGGTTGGAACCCTGATATTATTCAAATGACTGATTTATCGCTATCTTTAGTAGTGGAAAGGACCCTCCGGGGTCATTGATCAAATCGTGTCGCGGGAAGCGGTGACAGCGGAAGACCCGCCATGGAATTCCGTTGCCCACGGTGTGTGTCAAGGCTTTTTTCTTCCAGATAGCTTTAGCCATAGGGTGCTGCACAGGGTGCTGTTTGGGTGCAGGTCAACGTGCTGGTCAGGCTGTATTAAGTGCCAGTGAGGGTGCTGTTGCCGGTGATGGTCAGGGTGCTGCTTGGTGCGCTCCAGGTGCGCAGGTAGCGTAGTGATGCTGCTGAATTCATTAGGACGGTCTTTTGTGCTTGTATGTAGCGCGTGCTGAGTTCATGCAGTCTTTTCCTGCTAGCAGTGCTTGTGTGTCACGCATAATGGTTTGTGGCCGTGGTAGCATCCTGATGTTACAAGAACCAGCATGCCGCTGCTAAATTAATTAGGACGTTGCCTATGTTTCTATGTAGCGAATAATGGTTCGTGGCTGTGGTATGTGAAGATGCTGCCAAAATCATCATGATGCCGTTGAACTGATTGGGGCGCTGTTGTGCAAACATGTAGCGCATAAGGTTTAGTGATTACAGTATTATTCTGCTTCCTTGAACAAGAGCTTACTCGCTGCAATCAATGAGCCATTCCGGCCTTCTTCGCTCATGCTATCTGAAACAACTCTGCTGGTGTAACTCTTTTGGTTTCCCTTTTTGTGCCAAGCTGAAACAAGGTAGCTGCAACACCCAGGGAGGCGGGCCCTTTCAAGCTCGGACACGGCGAGCGTGAGACAAAAAATGTGCCAAGGGCCAAGCGGCAAGGGAGTTGGTGAACCCGAGCAAACCGCCCATCCGGTTGGGCAGCCCTCCAGAGGAAACCCACCAGTTTGGGAGGGTCTTCTGAGCAAAAAGATACACCCATGGAAAACGCAACCCAAGGGAAACAAAAAATAAAGCAACACGACGCCATTCTCGGGGAATGAGTTGGCTCCTCATCCAACCGGTGGTGCTTTTTTTCTTTGGGATCCCCAGCCCCGAAACCGAAAGTCCCGGCTGATGAATGCCGAATTGCATGGCCCGAAGGACTTGCGAAGCGAGAGGTGGCCCGCTGGTCGCTTTTTGGGAGTTGGCACCCCCAGTTCTTTGGTGCGTTTTGCCACGGGATGTTCGGACTTTAATGTTTTCGCCAACTAATGGGTTTTCCGAATCAAACCACCAAAAACTAAACTTTTAGCAGGGGAGATTTGGTTCTTGTGGCTTTAAAGGGACACCAGCAGGGAAACTGAAGCCGTTCCATGGTGTCGATTCCAAAAAGACACACACGCGCGCACACACACACACACCAATTTGGGGGGGTCGTTGACTGCAAGGACTTTCAAACTAGGTGCCCCCAACGTTTCTTTCCTCGACAAAATTACGTTGCGGCTTCCAAAGTTGGCACTCTTATTTGTTTGCGTCAGGGAAATCCTTAGTCTATTAGGTGGTAGTTTAGATTGGTTTTGGGATGTGAACTTCTGGCTTTTGTAGAGAGCAAACGGGAAATTACACTGGATCACCTCCGAACCACCAATTCAAACCGCCAGTCAGAGGAAAGTTGAAGCCAAGTTTGCGCAGTTGTTTGCATGTTCCCCCCTCCCCCGCCACAACCTTACGCCCAAACGGAAATGGGTATGACATGTGTATTTTGCTGGCCTTGAACACGCCCTTTAGGGATGATGGCAATGCACTGCGCCTCGGGTGGGAATCATTCGCGTCAGGTAGGACTCATTGCCGGAGCACGCACACTCGCTGCTTTATTCGGTATGAGAATGGGAGAATTGAAGACTGCTAGTGCTCAGAGGAGACCCTTTGAGGAATCAGATTCTGTGGGGCTTTCGTTCCACCAGCCACTTTGTTCCAGCTCAAAAATTCAATTCCTCAGATGCCCCCCCCCCCCCTCCCTGCCCCCGCCGTTCCACCAGTCTCAGTTTCGTCGGCCGAACAACACAAAAAAAATCCAGCCGCATCTCAGGTCGGCACATGGATCCGTGGCCGGGAAGCCGAGCACATGGATCCGTTGCCTCGGAAACTCGCCTCAGTGCCGAAGACGATTCTCCCAGTTTTTTTGGGAGCCTTTCTTGCATGCCTGGCCTTCCGCCTCGCCAGACGCGGGGTTCTGGGGAGGCCCCCGCAGCTCTGCATCGATGACGCTGTTCCCTCTCGGACCCCTCTTCCATGCCGGCTGTTTTTGGGAGCTGCCTCTCCCTCCCAAAAGCACAGCTTGTGGGACCTTGATTATGATGCAATCACGGAAGTTTTTTCGAGAGAAGGAATCCAAAGAAAGTACACCTCATTGATCACACGCAAATGTATCTCCAAAAAGTGTGTTTTTTTTTCTTTTCGATTTTCCTTTTAGTTTCTTTTAAAAGCAACCAAAACGGTCCCCCCCGTAAAAAAGGAACCGCCCCCATGTGTCAATGATTGGCCAACGTGGTTTGGACCTTGGGCACCTTCCCTCGGCCTCAAACCTCGGGACGTTCCAACCCCCAATTTAAAGCTTTTCATGGTCGTTGTTGGGAACCATTTTTCCCATTTTTGCTTATTGTGGTTTAGTGGTTGAAATCCAACCACTTAACTGCTAAGATTTAATTTTTTGCTCCGCTTCCCGGGACATAGTTGAGGACAACAAGTCGTCTTCGGTTTCCCTTTGGGTTTTGCTTGAAAGAGCCAACCCAGCCAGCAACCCAAGAAAGGGGTACCCTTCAAAAAGCAAACACACACACACACACCACAAAAGCGAACGTGGTCGGTATTTACAGTGAAAAAGGAAACCACCAATCTTGGGGGGCGATTCCTTCTTTGAGAAACTTTTCGCAAAAGGAGGTGGTGCAAACAATAGTGGTGTCAACATGATTGGACAGGAGTGACATCCATCTATGGTAATCCGACTAATTCAGACAAAACGTCGCCCCAGGTTGTGAAGCCGATCTCTCGAATCGGGGTTGGTCTTAAGCTACCAGGTCAAAACAAGCCGAACAAGGTTTCGGCGACGTTTTCTTGAGGAGAAGCCATGGTTGAAACTCTGTCTGTTTTGCCTCAAACACTTGGGCGTGCTGAAAAAAAACCCATCAGGTGGTCAGATTTCAGGTCTGGTCTTCAGGCCAAGGTTGTTCTAAGATCGGAATTTGTTGAAATCACACGAAACCGCGTCTTAAAACGAGTTTCCCTTTGAACCAACCCAAGCAGAGAATGCTCAAACAAAGACACACCCACATCACATGGACATCCTCACTATGACGGTGGAGTCCTCCCGGCATGCCTTTTTTTTTGCCCATGGCGAAAGGACAGCCACCGGAGAATTCGCTTGGGCAAGTTCCATGAGGTTTGAGAAAGCGTCCCCTCCCCCAAAGTGGATCTGTTTCCCCAGGTAGTCAAGGGAACCCTTGGAACTAAACGGAGAATGGGTCTTGGTTGGTTTGTTGGTTCGTTTTGGGCACGCCAAGCGCGTTTGCCAAATTAAGGCGAGACTCTCGGGTGGAGGTGGGCAAGAGATGGGTCGGCGACTATGACAAGGCCTGCGCCTCGCGCGAGCACGGCGTAGAAATTGAACGTGAGAACGTGGGGCCTGGGGGCGGGGGGACGGGCACAGTTTTTTTCTCCACCAACACATCTGTTAGTTTCCCTCAAAAAACGACAGACCTTTCTGTTTGCCGACACAAAACTCATTTTCTCATGGAATTGAAGGGACATGACCACTGGTAAGGTATTGCGAGTGGTCACCATATTCCCAGTTTCCGAAACACCCTGTTCAAAGTAGATGTCACAATTCCCTTATGTAAGATGGGCGGCTGATTGTGCCATCTATTTGCACAACATGTTCTTAGGGCTTCTATAGGAAAGGATACGGTGGCAATGTGAAAAGCAACCATTCCCTTCCCCAAAAAGGGGTCACATGGCCACGAGAGGATTTTTTTGGGAGGGTTAAGACACAGTGCCAGGTGTTGGGTTCCGCCATGGTGTATGAACCCCGAAAGGGGGGTTGGGAAGGGGGACTACCTGGATCGCCAGTTGCTATTTTTCTTCCCATGCACTTTACCCCAAAAACCAGCAACAGTGACTGAAAAAAGCAGCAACTTGGCTATCTAGCTTATTAACCCCAAGGCCTTATTAAGGGCTTCTCCTTGGCTGATCCTGGGCTTGTCCAGGGATAGCCCCCTCCCCCTCTCCTTCATAAGACCCCCACCCCCCCCCCCTCGGGGTCCGCGTGTCGGTCAACTTTTCGTCAACATAGCTTGACCTTTCGTGTGTTCCTTTTGCGCGAGATACAGTCAATCCCACGAGAGAAATGAGGATTGGTGTTCAATGTTCGCTCCACGAATCTTCCTATAGACCATCCCCGATTTGGTTTCCTTCAAGGAATCCCCAAAACCGTTTCATTAACCCCCCGGGTCATTCCCTCCCCATCGCACCTACGTCCCCCAGTAGTGCCCTTTTACCATTTTTTTGTTGGAGGGTTCCCCTACTAAAATAGACAAAAGAAAAAAGAAACGGTACCAACTTATTCTATTCTCTCTGGAGGACCCATCGCACCAGCAAGCCAGGGGTCCATGACTGAAACCGAAAACCGCTCGGACAGCTTTCTGACGACGAGGCGCTGCAGAGACTCGCGGAGACTCGGGTGCCGGAGGCCGTGGCCGCCCTGCGGGGGGACGCGCTGCTGCCCACGCAGGCAGCTTAAACGGAGGGCCTGGGGGCGTTGCTTGAAATGGGCTTGTCAAGTTTTTCAGGATAGACCCTCCCTTAAAACAACAACAACAAAAAACGGAAAGAGAAGGGTTTGTCAAGTTTTTCAGGATAGACCCCCTAAAAGAAACAACGGCAATGGAGCGACGGCTTTTTTTTGATGATCTCCGACTCTAAAAGCGACAATGCAAAGGGTAGCCTCCAAAAATGCCACGCCTAAATTGGAGAGTTTTGTCCAGTCTTGGGTGACCCAAGGTCTGATCCGCGAATAATTTTCTGTGGTTTCCCCGCACTATTTGAGCCATAATCAACACCCGGGTAGATGAAGGTTAGTAAGGGGCAGTCCCAGCCAGAAATAGTTGCGGCCGCCTTGTTAATTCTTTACATGGTCCTGGGTCGACCATTTTAGTACCGAGTTTTGATTGTGACTCATCTAGTGTCCTACAGGTCTTTGGATCGACCCAACTTTGAATGCTCTGACTCCCAGCGTCCTTTTGGGTGGAGGACCTAAATATTGCAAGGGGAAGCCCATCATTCAGCAGAGGGTTTTGTGGTTGAATGTGTCCAAGACCAGTTTAAAAGGAGTCCTTGAACATGTGGGGGGCTTGGGATATCGGGCAAATCAAGCGACACACCAGAGGGACGCCCAACAGGGGCCAAGGGTGGCATAGAGTTATTTGGAAGCTCCAAATCCAAGGCCTTTCAAGCAGTTTTTTTGGGGAGTGGTTTTGGGGTCACCAACTGAACTGATGCGTGGTGAAACCCTAAGAAGGTTTTCTTGGGAGCGAGCACGGTTCACAGTCTTGGCTCGCGCATGCGTCATGGCCAGATTTCCAGTTCCTTTACTTGGGGTTAGGGATGGTCCTCAACACGTATCCTTAACAACCAGTATGTGATGCTTCCGATGAAGGGAACCATGGCCATCGGCCAAAGAAAGAAGCGCCGCTTGAACATCGAGACTCGGGCCGCTCGGGCCGCTCGGGCCGCTTGGACCGCTTGGCCCTTCTCAACTTCGAAAATTCCTGTGCAGATGCTGTGGATGGTTGCGAAATCCCTTCGACGAAATGAAGCCAGGGAAACCCATCACGTTTGCTATGTATGTTGGGGAATCGAATCAGAAACCAGGGTTTCTGAACGGCGGGTTGCGAAATGGATTTCGCAACCATCCACAACTATGTCCTTCAAACCTTTGTTGCATTTTGATTGGATGTTAGGACTTTAACTTTTTGCCAACTAATGGGTTTTCCCATTAAACCACTAAAAGTTAAACTTTCAGCAGGGGAGCAGCAGGCAGCCGAGATAAACCAAGCTGTGAGGTACGCAAGAGGGGGCAGTTCGCTTTGATTGCCCCAGATCGCGGGGCTCGGAGCTCGGGCTGGTGGATTTAAAGCTCCAAGCCACGAGGCTCCAAACGGTTCGGTTCTTTGGGTTCCGTGGTTCGACCAAGATCGACTTAACAGATCGACCAAACCCTGAGTGTCAGGGATTGGTGGTTCATCCCAGTCAAAATGATTTTTGGAAGGGGTGGTGGGGATTGTGTCCACTGGGTACGTGCCTAAATTCGGAGACCCCCCAACATGCGTGGTTGCCCCTTGAATCTCCCTTACCACCCCAAAAAGGGAACCCCAAGCTGGTTGCGCTTTCGTGATCCGTGCCCTTATGTCTATTTAGCAACGGATCTTTGCACTGGAGAAGCTTTTGGTTGAATCAGGTCGGATTTTCCATACTGGACCCTAAGTGGTTCACTTTTTGGCGGAATGGCAACCACGTCATCTTGCATGTTTTAAGGTTTACTTTGCGGTTGTCGGCTTGGGGATTGAACCCTCCGGCAATCAAGATGGACTTCGACTTTTTGGTTGCACCATGTCGCATTTTCCGTATTGGACCCACAAAGAGCTCATCAACTTTTGTGGGGTTGGTACAGCAAGATGCGATCGCAGGTCATCACTACTCTGGCCAGAGCCGCGCACTGGTCCCTGGCGGTCGCCTTCTATAGCGAGATGGCGAGGCGCGGTGTTCGACGCGGTTCGCGGCGTTCTCGGGGCCGCGACTCCGTCGCCTTCGGCCAAAACCGCTTGGTTTGTGGCTTGTCTTGTGGATTGACTCCGGTTTTTGTTGGTCAGTTGCTTGATCCTCTTACACTCGCTGGGGATCTTTGCTCGCCAAAAGGCGATTGTGGGAACTCTGAGTGCATTGCAGCGCCAAAAGAGAAGCATGTTCAACCGGGAAGTGATGGTTTATCAAGGATAGGGGCAACACCGCACTTTTCATGAAGGCTTGCGCGCCGTTTGAGAGACCCATTTTGGTTGTTTTCAAGCAACAGCCAGAGGACTAACCCCCCCTATTCATGTTGACCCCGGATTAGCAAACCTGTCCTGATAGGGGGGCGTGTTCCCTCATTTATCAACCCCCACAAAAGGGGCCCCTACTAGTGAAGCAGTGCATTTGGGGAGATCCAAGTACTGAACTGAGTGAGGGTCAGGGCCGAAGTACCTAGAGCCCGGATGGATACCTTGTGGCCTCATTGAAAGACACCCGCACATACCAGAAACAAACCCCTCGATTTCAGCATCATCTAAAGAGGCCATGGCCTCCTTTGAGTTTCAGGAGGCCGGGGCGATGATGTGTTAGGGTTGGTGTCAACCTTCTGTTTTCTTTTACAACCTGAAAACCAAACGGGGGGTTTTCCAAGAAAGGACACTCATCCATGGAGCCCCGAACCCTGTCTAGCCCCCAAAACTCCCCGCCCTCGCCCTGCCCGAGGAGCTGCCTCGAGATCACCGTGTACCATGCCTCGGCGGCCGTGAAAGCCTGCCAGCAGGCGCCCCTCATGCGGCGCCCTCATGCGGCGCCCTCATGCGATGCGCCCTCATGCGATGCGCGTGCGTGCGCGCGTTTTTTTTCTCCTTTTTTTTTTTTTTTCCTCGAGCCTCTTTTCCAGAAAAATCGATGTGGAAAAGTCTGTCTCTTTCATAAGGTTGGATCGCACCCCAAGCTGGCGCAAGAGTTGCCCCGTGTGGTTTTTTCCGAACCAACCAAAGATGAGGCAACCCCGGCAAACAAAAAGAACAACAAAAGCCGTATGTGCCATGGTCGAAGGACCTGCTTTGGGCTTGGCATGAATATGAAGCCCTTAGATATTCTAGACAATGAAGGATTCCAGAAGGAACCATGACCATGACAAGGATTTATGAAATAAATGGCTTTGGGTCAAAAACGGCTTGGAGCGGACCAAACCCAAAAGGTCCCTTAGTGGTTTAATTTGGACCTGACCCATGCGCAAACAAGGCTCCCACCAGTTGTTTTCGTGTTGGTAGGATTCTATTGAGCCACCCCGTGGTTATCCTGCAACTAGGGCCCGTGCAAAAGAAGAGAGCTGGGATCAAGCTGAGAGTTTAAGAGGCCTCGGTTCAGTGAAGGCTGAAAACCAAAGGGCTGAGTCGGCAGGTTTAAATTGCGCGGGGGCTCTTAGCAAGGTGCCCGGATGGGTTTTAGGCCCTGCAACACATCAACTCCCTTGCCTCAAACTCCCCATTCCGCCTTGTGGCGTTCCATGTGGTGCAGTAGGCCGGGAGCTGGGACGAAACTGGAATTCAGCCGTTGCACACATGGCGGCACCGACATTTGAGGAGTCTTTTTTGTTCCACGGAAACAGCGAGCATGGGCACAGTCCACGGCGGCTTGACCTACTGCGTTGGATTCGGGTTCAAGCGAGCGTGCATGATGGATCCTTGCACAGTCTATTTTTTCATCCGCTTTTCCAATTTGTGAGTCATAGTTACTAGTTTGTGCATACCCAGGAGAAGGGTGACCACAACATTTTGCCATAAAATGTGAAGGATCACCACTAGAAGGGACATATAAGCTGCCATGTTGTTTGGCAAAGTAGTCTTCCCAAGGTTCTCAAGCTAAGGAAGGTCGTGGAAGCCTTGTTCAGGGTATCTATACACCCGCCTTGGGTTTCGGTCCTTTTTGGGGACCAGTGGACAAAGTTGCCCTTTACCAAGACAGCACCAACCACCAAAAGGAAGCTACTGGCAAAGACGTGATTTTTTAAAGCACCAGGCAAGCATGAGGAACCTACCGGCAAATTTCATCAGCCTCTGGCTGATATGGGGGTGCCTGGTCTTCACGTGAGCGCCCATTCTCTGGACAATTCCCAGCCATACGCTTAGACGCTTACATGTTCAGATGTTGGAAAAATCTATGGCACACCGAACAGTGTCCTAAACCATTGGGCCCCCACCTATGTCGTGGTCCCCCAGAGACCAGCCCAAGCACCCCGCCAGTTGGATTGCTCCGAACCAGCTTCTCAACAATTTCAGAAGCCCGGATTGATGAAAACGACTCCCTTTTTGGATGGCAGAAAGCCAAAGGGAAACCACCAGCGCAAGAGATTCCCAGAAAACCGGGGTGTCCTTGTCTTTCTTCAGGGCTCCTTAAAAGATACATTTTGCAACCAGTTGAAACATGTTGCTTTTTCAACACCAAAATAAAGAAATGGAACCCACCATTTACAAGTTGCAATGTTCAGGTGTCTAATGTAAGGATCCCTGTTGTGGGATCACTCCCCTTTATGGGGCGTCTTGTCTTTCCCCATTTTGGGGCGTGTTCTTGTCTTTCTTTTTGGGGGGACGTCTTCCCCCAAACAAATCTCGGTCCGCCGTCCCACTGAAAATTTCGTCCTCGCCAGGCCGGGGCCTGGGAGCCGGCGCTGGCGCTGCTGGAAGGAGCTCCAAGCCTCACGGTGCAGCCCAACGACGCTCCCGCGCGAAAGGAAAAAAAGGCTGCAACGGGGGAAACCGGGTGGAGGGTCTGTTGACCCCGTTTTTTTTTTGATTGTTCGTTTACCCAATTTGTTTGTCTTTCTTAAGAGGGATTTGTTGAACCTTTTCTTTCTGTTTTTCTTTGGAGGGTTTGTGTAGCCTTGTTTTTTGAAGGGTTTGTTTGCTCTGGTGTTTTTGTTTCTTTGGAGGGTTTGTTTGACCTTTTCTTTCTGTTTTTTCTTTGCAGGATTTTTGTAACCTTTTTTTTTGGGTTTGAAGGGTTTGTTTACCCTGTTTTTTGGTTTTTTGTCTTTGGAGGGTTTGTTGAACCTTTTCTTTCCGTTTTGTCTTTGGAGGGCTGGTTTACCCCAATGCTTTTTTTGGGCGGGGGGAGGGGACACGGGGCGGTGGAGGATTTTTTTCCATCCCGTTTTCGTTTTTGAAGGATTCGGGTGAATTTGCCCCTTGCTTGTTTTTGCAAGGGAGGAAGGGGTGGGTTTTTGTTTGCCCCGTTGTTTGGAGGGTTTTTGGGGAGCAAATGAGCACGTCATGACCATTTTAAATGAACAAGATGGAGGTTTCCAGTAGGTTTTTTTGGAGGGTACGGTGGATGCCCTAAATATTGCAAGGGAACAAATTTAGGGCATCCACCCTACCTGGACCCTCCAACGCGTACCCGGCAAAAATGGGGGAGATTGCTCAAGGGGTGATGTGCTCAATTGTTTTTTGGGTTTGAATTTGGATGCTTGGATGGTGAAAATCCATGGCAAACTGGGGGGGTTCGCTTGATCCATTTTGATCCATCGTTCTGAGCCAAAAAACCGGCTGCAACTTGCCCTTGATCGAATTCTTCAGTAGGATCCTGGAAACGGGCATTGATCACTTTAAGGGGCACTCTGCAGGTCGGTGTCAGGTCGGTTCAGGACCATTTTGTTTTGGAAAGGTGCGGAAAACAGATCTTGACAGTTTTGTGTTTTTTTTGCGTGCCAAACTTGCTCACAAAGGTGCTCCTTGAAGGGCTTCCATACCCTTGCTCCGTGCAGAGACGATTGTGGACACATGCACACACACAAGCCGATCTTTCACTTGCAAAGCGGCTCGACAACTGCTGGTTTCCCCAAATGAATCCATAGCTACTGCATGCGGTCGCACGGAAATCTTCCCAGGTCATTTGCTTCTCTCATTTGGGTTGGTTTTTTCCTTGTTAATAGGAACCTTCCAAAAGCGTGGTGTTCCCTTTGGTTTCAAGCATCCGCAAAACGGACACCGTCCAAGAATGACAAGCCTATTTTGGCAACTAAAGGGCACAAGAGGCAGAAGCCAGCCGTGTTTTTGACACCCCAATGTTGTTTGAGGTGGGACACGGCTTACCGTCGCTGTGCCAATCTGAGGAGTACACCTACAACGCAGCCATCAGCGCCTGCGAAAAGAGTCCTTGCCTCAATTCGCCTTGCAAACACTGGCCCTACCACTCACCAAGTTTCACCCGAGTCTGGTTGTTTCAAGGGGGGTGTTTGTTTGTTTCTTTGTTTCTTTGTTTCTTTGTTTCTTTCTTTTTTTTCTTTAATCGTTTCTTAGTTTCTTTGTTTCTTTTTTTGTTTTGTTTTGTTTTTTCTTTTGTTTTGTTTGTTTGTTTGTGTGTGCTTTTTTGGGTGCGTGGGGTAGGGCGGGTTGGCCTGGGACCGGACATCCCCCAAAAAGGTGTGAGGCTGTGAGCCCGCGAGGGTGTCCCACGTTCAGGCCAGGTGCCTTGTTTGTGTAGGTCCCCCGGTAGTGCCCTTTGTAAACCCTTTTTCGGGGGGAGGGTTCCCCTACTAAAATAGACGACCGAAACAAGTTGGTACCCTTCTTCTAACCTCTCTACTGGAGGACCTAGAGAGTGTTCTTGTGTTTCCCCCTGCTGGCTTTAGAGGGAATTTATCGCTACTGGAAATACGGCTCCTTTTTTTCCAGGGGACCTTGTAGATTTTGCTCGAGAGCCAGCGCCCCTTTGGCTCATTCGACTTCGTCGTTTTCGACTCGTCGGCTTTCAGGAGGCCACTGGCAGGAGGCGGTGGCGATTTTCGGGCTCATGGCGCAGCGGCAGTGCCTCGGATGCGCGCGTCTTTGGTGGGCTTCGCTTCTTTTTTTTTGGTGGGGCTGGTTCGTTTTTGAAAAGGAACACCAACAGGACACCCGGCAGTTTTGTTTTTCCTTTTTTTTTTTTTCCGGAGGTTCCCTGTCAAAAGACCAATTTTGGTGCCAATTGGCTGTTTTCTTGCTGGTGCGTGAGAACCGAGGTGTTTGCTGAGCGTCATCTCCTTCTCCGCGGCGATGAGCGCCTGTGAGAAGGCGAACCGCTGGCAGGAGGCGAGCCGCGGGGGAGGCTTCGGCTTCGTGGGATCCATCGCGAACGCCCAGGAAAGGCTCGGGGAAACCTCCCCCCCCTGGGTCCCCGTGTTTGGGAGGGGCAAAGGTCCAGAATCACATGGAAAAGACTCACAAACCAAAGGTCCATCCAAGTGTTCAAACATTTGGCCTATCTACAGTGAGTTTCCTTTTTGTAGGGTGATGATTTAAGGGAACTATCGAGAAAGCTGCTGAAACAGCCTGGTTTCGGAGTCTGGGCCTAAAGATTCTCCCAAAAGTTTGGCTAGGTCGACAGCCCGAGCTGGTTGGCGTAGGGCGGATACTTGGGATTTTTTTTGCAACTTCACCGTTGTTGGCATGTGTTTAGGTTTGTTGCATCTGTATAGTCGGGGGCGGGGGAGTACCATACCAAGAGTTGTAAAGTTTTGCAACTTCCTTCTGACGAGTATTGTTTGACAGGGGTATTCTGTACTGCGCGAACTGGAGGCAGGGCTAGAAGGGATGCATGAAGAGCATGGTTGTTAAACCGTGGGGCATCAAGCGAAATTGAGGACTATTTATGCGGGGGGGGAGGTGGACTTGGGGAATTTTGGGGGTGTTGAATGGGCGAAGTTGAGGGGGGAAGCTTTTTCGTTTGGAATACTGGTTGGTTGTGACTCACTTGCGTGTTTTTTTTTGAGGATTTCTAGTTTTGAATGGTTTTAACGGGACCCCAACAGAACAACTCTTCTTTTTTTTGGGGGGGGGGGCCCTATGGATGGGAAAATGGGTGGCCGGGCTCCCTCAAACCAGGGTTCCCTTCATGGTGGACATACTGTTTCAGGATGGATGGGAGTTTGTGGTGGGCTCATTGTTGACTTCTGTTCAGGAGTACTCCCCTTGGAGGGGAGCGTGGAAAAGGAGCCCTCAAAAGAGGACATGAATCCCCAACCAATGTCCAGAGATTCTATTAAGAGTCACTAATATGCACCAGTGAAACCATCATCCCCTCAAGCAGCTGGTTCTTTTGATGTTTCTGGCAGCCCCGTAGTCCGCAAGGAGATTCAGAGAGGAGTCGGGACTCTGGTGCACACACCTGAATGCGATTGCGTCTTTTTTGAGCGCGCCCCTTTTTTGGGGCTTTAAAGGGAAACCAACAGGAAAATCACCCATTTGGGGGGTCCCCTGAAAAAAGACAGACCCATGTGGGTTCTATGTACAATGAAATTTGAAATCTGCAACCCCAAAGAAATCAACCGAAATGCTGTGCTTGGATGCTTCGCTGAACTAGATGGCAGCACCTCATGGACCTCGGCTGGTTGCGGCATCCATCAAGAAGTGTTTCAGCCTTTTGCTGCGGCAGTGACTGGCTGACTGGCCGACTGGCCGACCGAAAAAGCCGCGCAGGCGCTGTACTTGTTGCACAGCATGGCAGGCGCTGGCTGCGGACTGCGCGAGAGAGGGTTTGGCCAGATCAACCAGCGGAACGGAAGAGAGTGTCCTCCATGCCCCATATATGTTTGGACCTCCAAGAGTGGGGTTTCTTTGTTCGAACCCACCAGCAAGTTGATCATCTTTTGAAGGGGAACTCCAGTGACATATCTGACTGAACAATGTGGCACCTCCTTTTGCGTTTCATGAACCAGCTTTTTTCCCACGGCAAGCTGCCTGGTTGGGGATGTCACTTTTCCGCTTTTTCCTGCTGGTCTAAAAGCGAAATGACTTCTGGTCATTGGATTTTCTTGGCCCCGCGCAACTGGCGCATGAGCGCAAAGTCGATTCGACGTGCTCTTGACTGTGCACCAGGTGCCTCAGTCGCCAAGAACACCATCGCCTTCTCGGCTGCTTTGCCCTTAGTGTCAGCCGTCCTGTGACTGATTCGAGGGTAGGGGGTGACGGGTCCCTGGATTTCCTTTTTCCAGCTGAAGGCTATGGGGTCGATAGGCGGAGCGGGGTTCAGAGAGCTTTTCCTGGGCTCCGTGGAATGGATGCTGGGCAGGGTTCCAGAGAATTCTGGGGAGGTGGTGGAAGGTGATTCCATAGAGCGCCCCTGTTGGGGATACCACCTGTCCTTTTTTGTTGGTTGGGTGGGGGGGGGAAGCCTAGACAAATGGCATTGGGTGACCCTCCCCATTCAGATAGGGGCGATCTGGTGTTGCCAGGGAACCGTCACCCCCCACGCAGAAGTTGTCATCCGTTTCAATCAGCATCACAAAAGTGGCGGCGATCCGCACAGATCTAAATCTTTCGAGCAGACCAAATGCGTTTTGAGCTCTTCCGCTTGCTTGAGAATATGCTCTCATTTTCCCCTGGTTTTTACAGGGAATCTATCGCTACTGGACATCTGCTTTATGTATTCCAGGGGTCGTATCCGCAAATGGAGGAACTGAATCTCCATGCGCTCCTGACTGGGGCAGGGGGGTCTTGTTGCCACCTTTTGTGGAAAATTGTTCGACCCCCTCGTAGTGAAGGATTCCTTTTTAAGGGGGTCGCGAGTCTCGGCCCGAGCACCTCTCAGACGGTGAGACCGGTCTGACAGCAGAGCCTCGGGACACCAGCCATGGATTTGCTTCTGGCCGACCAGCAGGAAGGCTCCATCGTCAGCATCGTGGCCAAGGTCTCTCTTGGGTGCGATGAGCACGGCAGAGCTCTGCTCATGGGGGTGTCGCCGCAGCAGGACTTCCTCCTCAACCTGCCTTGCAAGGCGGACCAGCTGGTTGCGATCTATGATGCGAAGGTCTCCTTCGCGGCCTCTTCGCAGCCACTCCTCCAGGTGGACAGCCATGACAACGTGGTTGTATGTCCCACGCACACCCGGGAGGCCTTCTTGTGCTTTAAGGAAGCCTGCGCCGGAATTGGAGGCCTGTCTTTGGGAGCGCAGCACGCCGGCATGCGCCCACTTGCACACCTTGACCACTCACAGCTTGCAGTTGATGCACTCCGGCTACAGGGACACAGCAATGTCGTACTCGGCGATGTCGCCAACCCCAGCATGGTTCACAAGCTCCACAGCTGCGCCGGAGGGACACCCTGTCTCTTAGCGGCAGGCTTTCCGTGCCAGCCATACTCTTGCCAAGGAGATGGCTTAGGCCTTGCCGATCTGCGCGGCAAAACCCTGCATGCTATACTTCGATGTGGATGGCTGATGCAAAGCGCTGGCATCATCCTTGAGTGCGTAGCCAATATCATCAACTACCCGGAGGCGCTCAACCTTATACAGGCTTATGCTCGCAGCAGGGGTTGGCGCATGCACACCACCATCCTGGACCTACAGGACCAATGGGCCAGCAGACGCAAGCGTTGGTGGTGTGTTCTCTTACCTCACCATCAAGCTGCCACTTTCCCATTGACGGCCTGGCCAAAATCCACCTGCTACAGCACGGTCCAAGACGTCATTCCGGAGTGGCCTGCCTGGCCAACAACGGAAGAAGAAAACCTGCTGTGGGACTCCAATGAGTGCACAAAGTACCAGGACCCCATCTATGGCACGGACAATCGTGGACTCGACCTTCGAGCTCCTGCTCCCACTGCACTGCACTCCTGGGGCTCTGCCTTAAGAGCCTGCCCTTGCGGATGCCGCCAGCATCCACTGTCGGAGCATCGACTCGTGCAGCATGGACTCCGTGGATTCTCAGTCCCATCCACGCTGCAGGGCCAACCTAGGTTCATACACCCCAAAGAAGCAGGCCTGCTCAACACTTGGCCAGCTTCGATCCCGCTCCCATCGCCGGCCAGAGGAGCTCTTGTTCTTATCGGACAAATTGCGGCGCCTTTGCAAGCAGTGTGGGTCTTCTCACACATCACCAACTGGATCGCCGAACTCCACATCGGTCATGCCCCACGCTCTCCAATCAACTATGTCCAGGAGTACCAGACCAAGCTCCTTGTCGACCGGGATCTGATTTTTGCAACTCGGCGCCACTTCTGCCCACGCACCATCAGGCTTCGCCAGCACAACGAACCAGATGTCCACGTCAACCTCAACCAACCTACTACCATCAGACAACTTCAGCAAGCCGAGACCAAGCTGCAAGGCTGGGCAGCCACGGTCCACATCGGACACAAAGGCCTCAAGCGAGCTCCGGATGAGCTACTGCTTGCAACACCGCACGACACCTACCAAGTCCATCGCTCCCAGAAGAAGCAAGCGCTCAATCCGCCCACAGGGACCATCAGTGTCCAGCTCCTTCACGCGGCCGGCCGCGAAACCTACTACCTGAGCTCAGGTCTTCTCTTCGCAGAAGCTATCTGCTACTTTCCAGAGCATCTCAGCGGGGACTACATCAACCAGGACAATGGAGCCTTCCTCACACTTGATGAGCGGCTCTGGAACAACGCAGTCATCCTGCACTGTGGCAATCTGCGAGCCTGCGGCACTCCTGCCACCATCTGCTGGAGCGACACAGCAGTCATCCACAACATTTGCCAACTCCTCAAGTTTGCGGCCTCCATTGATCCCGAGCCTTGGGGGATCATTCTCCCTGTTGCAGCAGCAGATCTACTACGACCTGACCCTTCACCACACCATGTGTGTGCGCTCGGAAAGTCCCTACGGCAATACCACCGACTTGCCACTGTTTTTCCCCACAACCAGCACTGGACGCTGCTCACCTTGCAGCTTGGTGAGGAGGGCTCCGCTGAAATCACTTGCTGGGACGGCCTGCCACACCTCAATCACAACGCTGCCGACATCCTGGCCACCCGGATTTGCCACCTCATGCACTGCAATCACCAAGGTGTTATTCACCGCAACCATTTTCAGCAGGCTGCCCCAGGGACCTGCGGTGCCATTGCTCTTGCCCATTTCGGTATAGCAGCAGATCTCTGGGATACCATCACCCATGAGAGCATCTACAATTGGCATCTTGCCTACGGCACCACCACCCACAACCCTGATGAGCTTTTTGCAGGCGGCTTCCCAACTGAGCAAATCAACCACGACTTGACACAGTTGCTGCTCACCAAGGGGGTACCCCCCGAGGCTGTGCAAGACCGGGCAAGCCAGGCCATCGCCAAACTCAGTGCCACTACAGTGCAAGAAGCACTTGAATCACGCAACCCCTGGCAATCCCTGAAGGCTGCCGCCTCTCGACCGGCCACACGCTTCAGATGGATTTCCACCGATGAGCTCAACAACCACATTGCCACACAAGCCCAACGGGAACACGGCGCCTTCATCCCGAACGCCAAGCAGAAAAAGTTCAAATCCGACAAAAAAGCGCGACACCAATCGGAGCTTCAGATTAGCCCTGAGCACCTTGTCATCCCAACCGGCATCTTTGTCGACGACCAGGACGAACCCCTGCAACAGATCCCAGCTTCGGAGGTCGGTGCCAACCGCAGGGGCATTGCCATCGTCCCGGCCACTGAAGCCAACAGGTTCCTCGCTGACGGAATTTCCATCTCAATCGACGCCCTCGCGCTCCTCACAACCGCCGAGCTCCCTGTCAACCTTGCGGGGCTCACTACTGAAGCTATTCGCTTCCCTGCCCTGTACACCGGCACGGATGAGCCGGTTTTGCTCACTGGGACTCTGATTCAACTCGGCGATGTCTCTGTTAAGCGCATTCAGCCAGCCAACCAACCCCTTGAAGATGAGCCTGACCTATGCATTTTTCGCATCAGCGTCTTCAAGGACGAGCTACCCCACGACTGGCCTGACTTCATCAAAGCTCCCTTGCGAAATGTCATCAGAGCCACAACCTGCCTGCAACTTTGCCAAGACGATGTTTGCGGGCAAAAATGCGGTAAGTTCCACCCTTCTCTTGAGGAAGCTGTCTCAGCCGTCATCCTTGATGCCTGGGCGTGGAGATACTCAAGCCTTGCTGGTCAGAAAGCGTCCCCGGCCGACAGCACGGTCTTCCAAGTTCTGGTGAGGGTGCCGCTTTCCGCTGGCAGCCTCCTACACATAGCCTCTGGCTCCAATGGGATCTACTTCGACCCACGCTCCACAGATGGCCGGGCTGTCGACGCTACCTTCTCCGTGGTGTGGCTACCAGCCGCCACAGGCCCTGAGGCACGCCACAAAGCTCGAACCTGTGATTTCACCGTCAGCCTTACACGCCTCAACACCAAATTTGGCATTCGTGTCAAAGCCACCAACGAGGCAGTAGCTCACTCCTTCCTTCGCCCGGGACTGCCTTTTGTCAACATCAAGGTCTCCTGCATCTACCGCATCTTTCCTCTGCCACATGGAATCCAGCGATCAGCAGTGCAACAACTTCTCACTGGATGGGAATGGGCTGCTCGTCCCATGCAGGCATCGCGCGGTAGCGCAGAAGGAGCAGCTTGGGAAGTCGGTGCTTCCGAACCACCAAAGAAAGCCATCCAGCCTGGGCCACATGGCGAAGTCATCATCACCAAAGTGCGTGATATCGGACAGCGTGAACCACCAGCCTCAGGCTTCTGTGCCTCAGGCAAGACCATCCGCCACATCAGGGCCGCAACCACTACCACCACCACTGCAACGACCAGCGCGAAAAGCAGGGCCGATCCGTGGCAAACTGGCACTGATCCCTGGGCCCGCTGGCACAACTCTTCCAGCTCTGATGCATGCCTGTCACGTCCACACCGGCCCCGGCCACTGCCAAGAAGCTCGACCAGCTTAACGAACAACTACGGACTGATGTTCGCCAATCAGTCCTAGGCGAGCTTGCTAGCTCCTCTGATACTCAGTCAAACCAGCTTGCAGTCAACGTTCGGGAGCTCCAGGAGCAGGGCCGCAAGTTCGAATCCTGGTTCCAGCAAGCCGGTGAAAGCAGCCGCAAGCAAGCTGATGATCTACAACAACTCAGGGGCATCGTTGTCCAGCAACAGCAAGCCATCTCCGATGTGCAGCAACAAG